CAGGGCTCTGAGCTCTCCCTGGAGCTTCTCCTCTCCAGGTGGGCACCCCCAGCTCTGCCAGGCTGTGGGATTCTCTCTTCCCCACTCTGCCCAATTTTCCAGAGCAGTGCCAAGCATCCCCACAAGCAGAGGGGTGACAGGAGCCGGGGAATCCCTGCCCAGCTGTCCTGGGGCACTCACAAGTGAGGTCCCTGCTCCCAGGGAATACCAGGTCCCACATTCTCCCTGAGCCCATCCCTCTGTGTGTGCAGACGAGGATTTGGGGGAGTTTTTTCCCCATCCAGCAAGCGAAGCAGCCTGCTGCTGGCATTTTCCCTCTTCCCATCTGCTCCCGGGATATTCCTTCCCTGAGGAAAGCCAGCAGAGACGTGGAGCTGCCACGGGAGCAGGTTCAGAGATCGCCTGGCACAGCTGGAACCAGCAGCAGACAGATGTGCAGGGCTCTCCCCAGCTGTGAGGGGCGGCCCCCTGCCCCCCAGAATTCCTTCAGCGAGTGGCAGGCGAGGAGAGGTGACAGTGACAGATGCAGGACGCGGTGCCCGGCTCTCTCTGCTCCCTGGCTCCCGGCCTAATCGCTGCACTCCACGTCTGGAGATGCCTCTGGAGGAGGGCACTGCCAGGGAGAGCCGGGATAACGCTAATGGAGGCTGAGTGCAGCCTGGAAAATGGCCTCGAGGGGAAACGTGCTGGATTTGTGAGCTCTGCTTCTCCTCTGGGCAGAATTCATCTCCTGGAGCCGAGCTGGAGCCCCCACACCAGCCCAACCCTGTTGTGCTGCTCCCCTCCCATCCTGCTGGGATCTGCTATTCCCAGCTGGACCTGAACACCTCCACATGTCCCAGTCCTGCAGCACAGCCCCCTCCTCGCTTCCCCCTTGGCCAGCAGCGCTTTCCGCGTGCCCAAGGAGCCGCCGAGGGCTTTATCGATTTCCCTTCTTGATTTTTTTTTCCCTGTCGCTTTTAGACCACATTTTCACCCAGCCTTCTCCTTCGAAAGTCCACCCCAGCTGCTTCCCTTCCTCTTGGCTTCCCAGAGGCAGAGCTGGAGAGGACGGACACGGGGGGCTGCCGGGGTGGGGACAGCGTGTGGCACTTCCAGCCTGCCGGAGCTGGGATGAGGGGAGCGGGGAATTCTGCTCTTAAAAACACCTGGTAGGTGGGCAGGGGGTGAGGGGCACCCCGGGAGCGCTTCCAGGCAGAGCTGCTGCAGCGGGATGCGGGCAGGAGCCGTGCCAGGGAGAGAAACGCCACTGCCCTTCCTAGAAATGCACCCTGGAGCTTAAAAGATGGAGCTAATTGAGAAACTCTGTGGAGGTTGTAGCAGCAGGGGATAAAAGGGAAAGCTGGGCCCAGATTAAGCTCAGCGGGCCACGTCCCTGAGCCAATTCCCGGCTTCCCGTGGCCTCCCGGCTGGATCCATGCCTGGGCAGAGGTGTTTTGTTCTGGATGCAGGAGCTCCGTGCCTCAGGTAGGTGCTGGCTCCCCACTCCCCTCCTGACCCCCTTGTGCAGCAGCTCAGCCTCATCCTGCTGGATTTTCTCCACCTCATCCCACTGGATTTGCTCCGGGGGCGCCTCCAGCCCACACGGTTCTGCCGGTGGCTCTCTCTGCCAGTCCTGCCAAGAGCTGCTGCTTGGGGAATGCTGGAGCTGCTCCAGTTCCCCTGGAGCTGCATCTTCAGCTGCCTCCTCGTGACATCCTCCTCCCTCCCTCCCCACGCCTGGCATCCCCTCCGGTGCCGCTCGCCAGCCCTGGTGACTCTGGATCTCTCTCCGGGAGGGAATTTCTTCTCCTCTCCCAGCACTGGTTGCCACTTCCAGCTCTGGCAAGCCCCGGGCAGGAGCCTGCAGCCCCTTTTTGGGGTGGGAGCAGCCCCTTTTTGGGGTGGGAGCAGCCCCTTTTTGGGGTGGGAGCAGCCCCTTTTTGGGGTGGGATCAGCCCTGTGCCCTGCTCGGGCCAGAAGGGCCGGGGGCAGGAGGGGACAGGTGGCCTCGTTAGCACGGAGACAGGGTGACGTGCCACCTGCGTTAGCACACCCTGGCACTCGGTGACCCAGAAAGCTGCTTCCTCCCCCTCCCAGCTGGTGTTTGCAGGAGCAGCTCCTGAAGGGAGCCAGCAGAGCTGCTCGGGGCTCTCCAGCCAAAGCTTTTCTCGTGGCGGCGTTTGCACAACGCCTCCCTTGTCCCTGCGGTTCCTCTGGCGCCTGGGAAGCAGCAGCAGCTCTCCCTGCCCTTCCCCCAGAGGCAATGGGGGAGCTGCCCTCCATCCTCACCCCCCAGCAGGGTTGGGAACAGCGGGAGAGGAGCAGCTCGGTACCAAAGGGATGCAGGCAGGGCTGGAAACCAGCCAGTGACCACCTCGGGGGACAGCCAGGCTCTGCAAGGACAATCTTCCCCCAGGGAGTGAAACCTTCACTCACACCCACCCACCCCCTGAGCCCATCCTCCTCCTCCCCTGGCCAGCTGGCTCTTGGTGGGCTTTGGCCACTTGCCCTGACGCTCAGCAAGCCACAGCTCAGAGCCTCGTGACAGGAACCAGGAGCTCCTGGTGACCCTCAAAGGGGGTGCTGAGCCCACTGGGCTGCTCCTGTTCCTGGCACTCAGCTCCTCCTCACCCTGCTGGCCCAGCAGTGACCAGGGCCCCACAGCAGAGGGGCTCCAGGCCATCCCCAGCACCTCAAGGTGGACAACCCCCACTTTATAAAGCCTCACAAAGGTTTTTGCTTTGTTCCCCAGCCCTGGGGAGGACAGGAAGGGGTGTTTGACGCTGTGTTTGTGCCTATCAGGTGTCAGCAGAGCAGCTGCACCCGCAGAACTAACCACAGGTATTTTAGCAGCCTGCTGTTTATGTTTCCCATCCCTGCTGCAGCAAGACAATCACTTTTTGTCACTGCTGTAACAACAACTGCTGAGGCCAGGCTAAATCCAGCCCTCGTGGGTTTGGGGCTGTTTGTTCTCACCCAGCAGCAGCAAACAGGTAGTTTTGGAGGCAGGCAGTAAAATAGCTCAAGGTGGAGGTGGGATCTGTGCTGCTCTGACTGGATTTGTGCTGCCAGGGAGCGATCCTGGGGTGCTGCGTGCTCTGAGCTTGGGATGGGATCTGGAAAGATCAGTTTTGCCAGGCTCTGCTTCAGGACTTGTCTCTAAGTCTTAGACTTTGCAGCTGAACAGAGGAAAAAATCCATATAAACCGATTAATTAGTGTGTTTTCTGAGGGAAAAAAAGGAGCTGTGGGTTGTAAACCTCTCTGCCCAGGACTGTGCCCACAGCTGGAGCTGCAGCCTTGCCCCTGTGCCACCCTGGAGCTTTGCAAGAACTCAGTTCTTTGACAAATCCGAGCAGGCACATGGGGAAGGAAATCAGCTCTTCCCAGATTTCTGATTTTCATCCGACATGGCAGGGCCAAACCAGCAGAAAGTGGAGCAAAACCACCCAGCACGGCTTGCTCTCCCTGCTGCCCATCCCAGCCGGGCTCTGATCCCAATGGAGACCTCCTGAACTGGTGGGATCAGCTCTCTCCTGGTCCTGGGCTGAAGTTCCAAGCTTTCCTTGCCTTCCCTTCCCTTTCCTTGCCTTCCCACCTTGCCTTCCCTTCCCATTTCATGCCTTCCCTTCATCCCAACCTCTTCTTTTCACTCCTCCTGGAACGCCGCCGATGCGGGGGCCTCGCCTCTTAATTGCGGAGGAGGGAGAACATGGAAAAGCCTCTGGAAAAGCTTCTCCTGCTAATGGCAGTGCGGGAGAAGGCGGCTGCTCGGGAGGCTCAGCCTCCCCCGGGCATCCTCCCAGCGGGGTGGTACCCGACCCGGAGCGCTCATCCCGGGAATGGTGAGGAAGCCGCGGTGCCCTTCCCGCTGCCAGGCTGGTTTTGGGGCTGGGGAAGGGGAAAGATCCTCCCTGGGAACTGGCGAAGGTGGAGGAGCTCCCAGAGGTCGATGTCTGTTGGCATCAGGAGCTCAGGGTGCCCCGATGGTTTGGGTGCGGACACTCGCTGACCTTTGGCAGCCCTCAGGGTGATTGTGGGGATGTTGGATGCCCGGGGGCACTGCTGGCAGCTCAGGGCTCTCCTTTTCCTCTCTCTCTGCTCTGGGCTGCCTTGTGCAGCGGGCTGAGAGTAAAGCAGCATTCCCTCATCACCCAAGGGCTGTGCCGGGCACGGCCGGGCTGGGAGCGGGGGATGGATGGGGAGGAGCCGCTAACCTCATTAGCCACGTTCCCAATCAACCTCTCCAAACCCAAAGCACCCAAAGCACCCAAAGCCGGTGCCACCTCCCGCGGGCACCCCCGTGCCAGCCCCGGTACCCCGGAGCATCCTGGAGGTGGGATGCGACCGCGGGCATCGCCCCTGCGGGCAGCGGGTAAGTGCCACCCCCTGGGAGCCCCGGATTGTCCCTTCTTCCCCTCCCTGCAGCCTCGGAGTGTCCCCCCGACCCGGGCAGCTCGGTCCCTGCTCCAAGTGATGCCTGCGAGGAGTGTCTGGGTTTTTTTGGAGCGGGAACTCGTCGGGATGCAAAGATTTCTTTGGCCTGGTGCTGGCACACGGGAGAGGAGTTGGAGCCCCAGCAGCGGGAATCCCGCTGGAATGCTGGCAGGGGGAATTCTCCACCATCCCGCTGGAATGTTGGCAGGGGGAATTCTCGACAGGAATTCTGGCCCTCGGCCATTGGGAGGGGGATGCTGTGTCCTCTGTGAGGGTTTGGTTAACAGGGGGTGATCCCAGGGAATGAGATCCCAGGGGATCAGATCCCAAAGGATGAGATCCCAGGGGATCAGATCCCAGGGAATGAGATCCCAGGGGATCAGATCCTGAAGGATGAGATCCCAGAGGATAAAATCCCAGAGGATCAGATCCCAAAGGATGAGATCCTGGGGGATCAGATCCCAAAGGGTGAGATCTCCAAGGATCAGATCCCAGTGAATGAGATCCCAGAGGATCAGATCCCAAAGGGCAAGATCCCAGAGGATCAGATCCCAGGTGATGAGATCCCAGAGGATCAAATCCCAGGGGATCAGATCCCAAAGGGTGAGATCCCAGATGATGAGATCCCAGAGGATCAGATCCCAAAGGATCAAATCCCAGAGGACACCCCCTGTGCACAGAGCTGGGTGTCCCCAGCGTGACCCTCCTGTGCTGGTGTGTGAGCCACCAGCAGGTGCCAAAACCCACAAGATTTGCCTCAAAACAGTTTCCTTGCTGTTTGGGCAGCCTCCAGGAGAGCTGCAAAGTGAGGTCCTGGGGAGGACTCCACTCCCCAGCCCTGAGGGGGGTCACAGCTCTGGCTACACCTGGGGAACTGATAAAAATGCAGAATTCAAAGCAGAGATAGCAAATTCTCACTTCCCCTTGCTGGCTGCTGCTGTAAAGGCAGAGGTCAGGCAGGGGAACAGGGGCTTTCCTTGGCCCTCTGTGTGGCCCAGAGCTTGGAAGAGCCAAATGAGTCACTGACCCTCATCCCAATGAGCTTTTCCCAGCAGCTGTGGGAGGAGGGATGAAGATTTCCCAATAAAAGGGCGCTTTTTCACAGAAAAATTATCAGCATCTTGGAAAAAATGATGTCTCACAGTGGGAATTATCCATCTAAACACTCTGGGGACATCAGGGATCCCAAGAGGAGCAGGGTGATGTGAATTCCAGCAGTGCATCCGAGGAGGCAGCGCTGGGATCATCCCTCTGTTTCCTGTGTGTGGACTCGGGGTTTTCTCCGCAAGAACCAACCTAAAACCAGCGCAAGTTCCTCCTCATCCTGAAATATTTTCAGCCCAAACCCCAGGAGTGGAGAAGCTGGGATGGGACCCTCACCCAGCACCAGGTTCCTTCTCCATCCTCCCAAAAAGTTCTTCCTGGACCTCCCGGGCCCGGGTTGAGTCACGGAGGTGCCGTGACATCACGGGTGGTTTTATGAGCGAGCAGCCGCGTTTCCTGTGGCTCTGGAGGCTCAGGCAGGCAGGGAGAGATGTGAGCTCTCAGCTCCTCTCCTTCCTCCCCCCCAGCATCGCTTCCCTCAGGCCTCTCCTCTCCTCCCCAGCGCCAGCGGCCGGCGGCGGAGCTGGAGAGCTGCGTCCCGCTGAGAGGATGAAAACATGGGGCTCAAGTTCTCCTGCCTGAAAGGTCAGTTTGGGATGGGCCTTTGGGCTGTTGCTGCTCCCTCAAGGCACCTGAGGGATGGTGGTTCCCACAGGAGGTTTAGGTGTGGGTGGGATGGGTGTGGTGGAATTTTTGATGGCTCACGGGTGACCTGTTGCGCCTGGATGGCCCCAAAGAGGATTTTCCCTGCTTTGTTTATTTTTCCTGCTTTATTTTCCCTGCTTTATTTTCCCTGCTCATCCTGCACCTTTTGCTCTGGAGAATCCATGGGTTTGCTCAAGAAATCAGGTGGGTTTCCTTGGAGAAAGGAAAGGGCTGCTCAGGGACACGTGGCTGGGACACAGGGGTCAGCCCCCCAGAGTTTGGGTCCCAGCTCCCAACCTCCAGGCTGGCCCCGATCATCCCTCACCGCTCCACTCTCCCCAGGGATGCTCCAACCAGGAGCTTCTTCCTCAACTTGAATTTTCTTAATGGATTTAGGCCGGGAATGGCGTCAGGGATGTCTGCACAGGGGCAAAGTGGGAGCTTTTAGTGCTGCTGGCCTGGCAGGGCCAAGGCTGGATATGGCATCTCCCATTAGCTCTGCATCCCTCTGACTCCTGCTAATCATCCTCAGGGTCATTAGGGATGGGGCTTAATGAGGATCCCTCTCCAGGATGCAGGGCCGCCTCTTCCCTGGCTTTTCCCAAGCCCAAGTTCTGTGGGATTCTGGTTGTGATGGGCACAGAGTTGGATGCATCAACCAAAAATCAGCTCTGCCCCCTCTCCACATCAGGGATGTTGGGAGGGATTTGGGGTCTCACAACCCCCTCCCCCATCCAACAAGGGATAACTGAAGAGGGGAAACAAGCAGCCAGGGAATCCCAATCCTGCCCCAAATCCAGGACAGAGCCCCAAAATATTCCCCCATGCTTCCAGACCCCTCTGATGAGCTTGGAGTCTGGAATAAAAGAAAAGACCCTCCCCCTTTTCCAGCTCCCTTACATAAGGCAGGGCTTTATCCTTAATTAAAAAGAGATTAAAAATATCAGTGTCTGTCCCCTCCGGGCATTTTCTTGCTTGGGAAGAGCTGAAACCTCCCTGGATGCCGCCTGTGCCACACGGGGCTTTTCTCCTGATTAAAAAAGCAGATTAAAGCGATCTGCTCCCCTCAGGGCGGGTGGGCTGGGCTGGTGGTCGAGGGAGGGGTGGGATCCACCTCTGAAACCCCCCAAAAATCCCAGGTGGATGCAGGGGAGGAGATGTGAGGATGCTGTGGGTGCTCTCAAAGCGCTGACACCGAGGAGGGCACGGAGCTGGGGGGATGCTGAACCCTGCTGCCGGATCTTTTACCCCTCTTTTGTCCCCCAAATTTCCCCAGGCTTGAAGATGTGCGTGAGCAGTGGGAACGGCAGCGAGGGGACCCCAGCGGGACAGAAGCACCTGCACGTGCCCTCCATCATCGTCACACCTCCCACGCCCACGGGGACCACGCTGTCCCGCGAGGGCCGGCGCGGGGAGAGCCCCTCACCCTGCAGCCCGTGCTGAGAGGGGACACGGGGGGACAGGAGCTGTCCCCTCTCCTCGGGATGGAGCCCCCAAGGCACGGCCGGGCCGGATGCAGCCACCAGGAACACCCACATGGGTGGGTTTGGACATGGGGGACTGGGGTTTGTCCCTTTTGCTATTCCCCCCACGGCGAATAAAACCCCACACCCCCAATTTGGCTGTGGCAGCACACGGGGGATGGGTTGTGCACCCCAAAAAACGCCAGCAGCACTCTCATGGAGTCACCCCAGTGCCCGTGGACAGCCAAAGTGGGGTCCTCCAGCTGTCCAAGAGGGATTGAAGGATCCATTGCAGCAAACAACAGCGGGAAAATGAACTCGGCGTCATCACCCACATCCCGGGAGGGAGTCGGGGGCGACGCTTCCCCGGGAGCGGCGGCACCCGGAGCCGGCGGGAGAGGCGGGAGTGTGAAAGCAGATGGAAATTTAATTTTTTAATGACAGCAGCAGATGGCAAAAGACACGCGAGGGGAGGCGCAGCGTGGGGGAGACGTTCCCGGAGCGCCCAGCACGTGCTGGCGGCACCGGGGGCTGCTCCGGGAATGGTGGCTTGGGGACCCTCCTCGGGGATTGGGGGTCCCCAAGGCTTGGCTCCCGCCCAGGATGGGGTAACGCTCATCCCAAGGGTGGTGGGTGCTCCATGGGTGGTCCCAGGGCTGAGCCTGAGGTGGTTTGGGAGAGGGACTGGGGTGAAGTGGATTTGTCTGGTGGTGGGGGGGTTCCATGAGGACTTGCAAATGGGATGGAGCTCCCCCCAAATCATCCAGAAATCACTGGGATGAGCTGGGTGTGGGGAGGAGGATGGATGGATGATGGGTGGATGGATGGATGGATGGATGGATGGATGGATGGATGGATGGATGGATGGATGATGGATGGATGGATGGATGGATGGATGATGGATGGATGATGGATGATGGATGATGGATGGATGGGGAACAGAGGAAATGGACAGGTGAGTGATGGCAGGTGCCTGAGCATGGGTGTGTGAACAGGGGCCACTGAACAGACAGACAGACGGGCAGATGCTGGGGCCTGGCACCACCCAGGGACAGCCACGCCCAGCCCGTGTCACCCATCCCAGTCCCTGTCACCCATCCCAGTCCATGTCACCCATCCCAATCCGTGTCACCCACCCCTGCCCGGTCCCGCGTTGCGCTGCCGCTCTCGGCCGCCAGGGGGCGTCAGTCGCGGCCGCCGCCACTCCCGCGGCGCCCCGGCAACAAGTGCCGCGCGCTGATTGGCCGAGCGCCCGCGGGGAGCGCCGCGATTGGTCCCCGTGCCCCCATCCGGACTTCCCCCGGCGGGGCAGCGGCCAGAGCGCGCCGCGCGCAGAGCAGCCAATCAGAGAGGCGTGCGCCACGGCAACAAAAGGGACAGCCAATCAGCGTGCGCCGCGCCGCGCCGGGCCCCGCCTTCCCGCGAAAACCGCGAAAATGCGACGGGAGGCGGGAAAGGGGAACGGGGGGCGGGGCCTGGGGCTGGGCGGCCAATGGGGAGCGAGGGCGGGAGAGGCCGGCCCGGTGCGATCCCGGTCCGGTCCCGGTTCCGTCTCGGTACGATCCCGGTCCGGTCCCGGTTCCATCCCGGTTCCATCCCGGTACGATCCCGGTTTGATCCCCGTGCGATCCCGGTCTGATCCCCGTGTGATCCCGGCCCGGTCCCGGTGCGATCCCGGTCCAGTCCCGGTTCCATACCGGTACGATCCCGGTTTGATCCCGGTGCGATCCCGGTTTGATCCCGGTTGGATTCCAGTTCCATCCTGGTCCTGTTCCGGTTCGATCCCGGTTTGATCCCGGTGCGCTCCCGGTTCCATCCCAGTGCGCTCCCGGTTTGATCCCGGTTCGATCCCCGCCTGATCCCGGTTCGATCCCGGTCCTGTCCCGGCTCGGCTCCCCCGGGCCCATGGAACCGGCCGAGGTGGAGTTCCTGGCCGAGAAGGAGCTGGTGACGATCGTGCCCAACTTCAGCCTGGACCGGATTCACCTGATCGGGGTCGGCGGGGCCGGGGCTGGGAGGGGACCGGGGCTGGGAGGGCCTTGGGGACACGGCCTGGGGTGGCCAGGAGGAATTTGGGGGTCTATGGGGCAGGGATTGGGTCTGGAGAATGGTATTTAAGGGATTGGGATTGGGGTGCGGGAGCTGGGGGGGTTAGGGTGGGTCTGGGATGTTTGGGAAGCTGGGGAGGTGATGGATTTGGGATGGGTTTGGGATGGGTTTGGGATGGATTTGGGATGGATTTGGGATGGATTTGGGATGGAGGGATTCGGGAATGACGGGGGATGGGGTTGGGAGAAGAGGCAGGGCAGCCCCCAGGAATTTGGGGAGGGGGCTGTGCTGTCCCCCACATCTCGGGGGGTTTGTGCAGCCCCCGAGCCCTGGTGGGGGTGTCCAGAACCTGGGGAGCCTCTGGGAGCTGCATGTGCAGGGAGGTGGAATTTGTAATTCCTGTGAAACACCTTGGAATAAAAGGAAACGTTGGGTATTCCTTCTCCAGGGAGATGGGGGAAACTCTGAGGGGAAGAATTCTGGGAAGTGAGAGGAGGAAATGCAGGATCAGATGTTTGACCCAGGCTTTTCCAAAGGCTCTGGAAACTCTGGCCACATAAGCAGACAGGCTCTGTGCAGTCCAGGCTCTGGTTGGTGCCCGCCTCTCATCCTTAATTTGTTTTCCAGGGAGATCTGGGTCCCTTCAACCCTGGCTTGCCAGTGGAAGTGCCCGTGTGGTTGGCCATTAACCTGAAGCAGAGGCAGAAGTGTCGGCTCATTCCCCCGGAATGGATGGATGTTGGTGAGGATGGAGGCTCTGCCTTCAGCTCTGGCCTTCAGTGGGAGCATGAAATTAAAAATAATCCGTTTTTCACCATTAGTGGGGAGCTGAATTGAAAAGCACAAAGCAGCTGGGACAGAAGGATCTCATGTCCCACCACTGGGATTCTTTATTTACTCTGAGGGTGGTGAGGCTTGTGCAGAAGAAGCTTTAGGGACTTTGGGTCACAGAATCTCAGAATTTTTTAGGTTGGAAAAGATCTCTCCAACCTCACCAAGTCCAAGTTGTGCCCATCTTGTCACCAGCCCAGAGCACTGAGTGTCACCTCCAGGGATGGGACTCCAAACCTCCCTGGGCAGCCCCTTCCAGTGTTTAACCACCTTTTCAGTCCAGAAATTCCTTCTGATTGTCCAACCTGAACCTCCCCTGGCAGAACTTGAGGCTGTTTCCTCTCATCCTGTCACTAATTCTTGGGAAAATCCCTGTGAGGAGGGAGGGATTTTGGATGGATGGATGGATCCTCGGAGGCATCCATGTCCCTTGTGTACCTCCTCACAGGAACCTTTTCCTGAGCTGATCCGACAGAAACAACGTGGCTTTTTCCTGGGGAGAGGGGGAAAACCACACAAAATCTGAGCATCCCTGGTTGCATTTTAGGGAAACTGGAGGAAATCCGGGATCAGGAGAGGAAAGAGGACACCTTCACTCCCATGCCCAGTCCCTACTACATGGAGCTGACCAAGCTGCTGCTGAACTAGTGAGTAGGAGCTGAGCTGGGCCATTTTCCACCCCACTTGCTGCGAGCACGGACGATTTTTCAGATTTTTCAAGCTTTGCTTGGCAGCAGCCCCGCAGGGCGGTGGGGAAAAGGGAGAGTTGAGGGAGTTTTATCCCTCAGCCTTGCCAAGATTTCTCAGCAGCACTTCCCTGATGGTAACTCTGCCTCTCAGGACTTGGGGTGGCTCCTTGTGCGACCTCACAGCCGGGGCTGTGCTGCTTTAGGGAGCACGTTCCGGGCTGCAATCTGCTCTGCAGCCTCCAGCCTTCCTCCTTGGCTCTCCTTCAGGAGGAAAGCTCCTCTTCCCTCAGCCTGGGAAGCAGGAGGTTGGGGATATTCCATGCCTGAGCTCCTGCCTGCTGAGGCATTTCACTTGTAAAATGTGCTGGCTGCTGTTTGTCTCAGCGAGGGCTCTGCTGGCTTTTTAAGCTCTCGATTAAGCAGGGTGGGCACTCCAGTTTTGGCTTTTTAAGGCTCCTGGCAGGGTGGGCACTCCATCTCTGGCTTTTTGAGGCTCCTGGCAGGGTGGGCACTCCAGTTCTGGTTTTTGAGGTTCATGGCAGGGTGGGCATTCCAGTTCTGTCTTTTTTAGGCTCCTGGCAGGGTGGACACTCCAGTTCTGGCTTTTTGAGGCTCCTGGCAGGGTGGGCACTCCAGCTCTGTCTTTTTTAGGCTCCTGGCAGGGTGGGCACTCCAGCTCTGGTTTTTTGAGGCTCCTGGCAGGGTGGGCACTCCAGTTCTGGCTTTTTAAGCTCTCGATTAAGCAGGGTGGGCACTCCAGTTCTGGCTTTTTGAGGCTCCTGGCAGGGTGGACACTCCAGCTCTGCTTTTCCCTCTGGTTTTTGAGGCTCCTGGCGTGCTGCTCCTTCCAGCAGCCCCAGCAGCTCTGTCCCTGCGCATCCATCACATCTCCCAGCTCCTTATGGCAGCGCTGGGTGGCCTCAGTGGGGTGATGTGGCACATCCCACACAGCCCTTGCTGTTTAATTCTCCCTGATGGAGCCCTGAGCTGGGATTTTATCGTGCCTGAGCCCTTGGATTCCCCAGCTGGCCGTGACTTTGGCCGGGTTTGTGGCCCTTGTGTGCCTCGTACCAGCTGAGCAATTAAAGGATTCTAGTGACAGCCAGCTGCTGCATTGGAGCTGAGCATTCCTGGGGGAAGAAGCCATCCCAGAAATCCCAGCAGGACAAGGAGCAGAGAGGATTTGAGTGTGGAGTTGCAGGTTTTTAGCAAATTGCGAGCGCCTGGTGGGTGGTCACTCAGTGACCACAGCCCTCGGTGACAGCACCACTCAGTGACATAACCACACACCCCTCAGAGCCTCTTGTGGGTTTCTCTCCCGGGGTTCCTGTAGGTCAGGGTGACCCCAAGAGAGGTTGAAAAGAGTCTTTGCTTCCCTAGCCAAAGAAGGAGACTGGAATGCTTCTGATTGTGTTTTCAAGGTTGTTTGTTTCTTCTTATCTAAACATTCTTTCTCTGACCTGCCCAGCTCTGGCTAGCCAGGAGGCCGTGGCAGTCTGACCTGAGCCCTGGGAGGCTCCCACATTATATACTCAAAACTACATGTGAATGTTTACAATTTATTACCAATCCCCATCACTTAGACTGTGAATCTCTGCCTTGAACCAATAGAAAAGTGCCACCAACACCAAGACATGGAGAGCAAGATAAAGAATAAGGTCAGGACACGCCCAAATCCTTCCATCTTGTACCCCCTTGAACCCTATTGTAAATGCAGGAGAACCCAATGGGAAGAAATGACGATGTCTGACTCAATTCAGAAGGCTGAATTATTTCTTTATTATAACTATGCTAAAATGCATTCATATACTACATAAAAAGGAAGATACTTAAACTACATACTGCTTTCTCTGACTCTAACAAAACTCATGACCCTCTCTGAGAGTCCAGCCCCAGGTGGGTTGGATTGGATTGGATTGGATTGGATTGGATTGGATTGGATTGGATTGGGTTGGATTGGGTTGGATTGGATTGGATTGGATTGGCCATCAGGCTCAAACAATCCTCACCAGAACCCAACCAAGCACTCACTCCAGGTAAACAATTCTCCAAACACATTCCACATAGGAAAAACAAGGAGCAGAAATAGAAATTGTTTTCTCTTCCATTTCTCTCTGTGCGCCTCTATGAAAAATCCTGAGAGGGAGAGAAATGTGCTTGCCACAGAACCCCATTCTAAAACTCCCAAAATTCTACTTTTCCACCCTATGTTAGTTCAGCTATCACACCACTCAAACCCTTGTGGTTTGTAATTCCTCATGTAGAGTTTTCAGCTTTTTCCACGGTCTAAAATCGAAGACGTGGGTGTTTTTTGAGCTCGTGCCAAGGTCTCTGAGCCCCCTGCCAGGGTCTGGAGGGACGTGCTGGGCTCTGCCACCTGCTCTGAGCCCTGCCTTCCCTTTCCCTGTGCCAGCGCCTCTGACAACATCCCCAGAGCGGACGAGATCCGGACGCTGGTGAAGGACACGTGGGACACGCGCGTGGCCAAGCTGCGCCTGTCCGCCGACAGCTTCGTGAGGCAGCAGGAGGCTCACGCCAAGGTGAGCCGGGAGCTGAGCCCAGGAGGGAGCCAGGGAGCTGGGGGATGAGGGATGGGCTGCTGGGAAAAGGCTGGCTTGGCTTGGGGCGTGCTCCTCCTGCCTTGTGGGGTGTCACCGAGGAGCCTCGCGGGGCTCCCTGTGCCTGGTGGGAAGCAGAGCACTGGTGGGATGGTTTGGCTTGGCTGGTAAAGTGTAATTTCTATGGTTTCCCCCCCTCCACGCAGCCCCCTCTAGGATCCGACCAGCTCAGAGATATGGGGCTGTGAGGGGAGGAAACACCAGGAGAAGGAAAAGTATTCAAAAGAGGCTCTTACCCCAGGGAAGTTGGAACAGCTCTCTTTATTCTGTGGTGTCCATGGAGAGCGGGGCAAAAGAGAAAGAGCAGGAAGTTTCAGGGGTCTATATAGGTTTTGGACAGGGTGGGCTTCCCTGGCTCTCCGCCAACCCCATTGGGGCAGGGGGGAGGATCCAGGGGTTATCTTGATCAGAGCCACAGAGGCCCGGGGAAAGGGGGGACAAAAGGGTGTCCAGGAGCTCACCGTAACAGTAAAGGTCTCCTCCCACCCGCCTGCACACCTTTCCCTAGACCAGGCAGCTGCAAACCCCATCCAGCTCCTCCTTGGGGACTCCCAGCCGTGGGGAACGCTGCTGGAATGGTGCTCGGGTGCTTCTCTTGCCCAGGGCTGGCAGCGGGGTCAGTCCCTTGGGGTGTCAGCAAAGGGAGCTGGGAGCTGCTTCCCACTACCTCGTCTTCCCACATCCCGTTATTCCCCGTTTTAGCTGGATAACTTAACCCTGATGGAGATCAACACCACCGGAACTTTCCTCACCCAGGCCTTGGATCACATGTACAAGCTGCGGAGGAACCTGCAGCCTGCCGAGGGCTCCCACTCCCAGGATTTCTGACCAGGGAAAGGATTTGGGAAGGAGCTGCTGCCTCTGGGCACCTCCCACCTCCCTGCAGGGACCTCCAGCCCCCAAATCTGCCCTCAGAGCCGGCCAGGAATTGCCTGAGAGCTGCTGGAGCATCCCCAGAGCCTCAGTGCAGGCCAACCCCACCCCTGGGTTTGTTTTTTCCCTCCCTCCCCAGGGATTTTTACTTTCCCCCCGGGTTTGTCCCCATCCCCCTTTAGGGCACTTTTGTCCCCACCCCCCCCGTCCCATTTTTGTCACCCCCCAAAATCAACACCCAGCTCCCCCAAAACATGACCTGTCCATGTCCCCACCCCACAGGGACATCTCGGTGTCACCTCCCACCCTCAGGGGTCCCACCCTCGTGTCCCTTCCCCTATTCGCAGCTCTGGGATGTGGCACTGAGGGTGACACAGGACACGGGGTGAGCTTGGGGACATCATCTGTGTGTCCTCCCCCTTGGAGTCACTGTGTCCTGTCCTTGTCCCCGTCCAGGTGCCCCGCCAGTCTCCCAGCTTGGTGCCACCACGTCCCCACACCCGTGGCACAACTCGTGTGACCCCAGATCTGTCACTAAGCCCTGCCCATGAAGCAGTCCCCGTGTCCCCTGTCTGTGACACAGAGTCCCCGTGTGACCCACTGTGTGTCCCCATGTCCTGGCAGGGCACCAACATTGTCCTGCTGTCCCCACCAACGTGTCCCCTTAGAGCAGGAGGATGCACCAGCTGTCCTTGTGTCCCCAAGCACAGGTGCCACTGTCCCCATGTCCCCTGGGGCGCAAAGAGGGCAGTGCCACTGTCCCCATGTCCCCTGGGGCATGAAGAAAAGGCAGTGCCACTGTCCCCATCACAAAGAGAGGGCAGTGCCACTGTCCCCATGTCCCTTGGGGCACAAAAAGAGGGCAGTGCCACTGTCCCCATGTCCCTTGGGGCACAAAAAGGGCAGTGCCACTGTCCCCATCACAAAGAGAGGGCAGTGCCACTGTCCCCATGTCCCCTGGGGCACAAAGAGAGGGCACTGCCACTGTCTCCATCATGAAGAGTGGGCAATGTCACTGTCCCCATGTCCCTTGGGGCACAAAGAGGGCAGTGCCACTGTCCCCATCATGAAGAGAGGGCAGTGCCACTGTCCCCATGTCCCTTGGGGCACAAAGAGGGCAGTGCCACTGTCCCCATCACAAAGAGAGGTCAGTGCCACTGTCCCCATGTCCCCTGGGGCACAAATAGAGGGCAGTGCCACTGTCCCCATGTCCCCTGGGGCACAAATAGAGGTCAGTGCCACTGTCCCCATGTACTCTGGGACGTCCCCTGGGCCATGCCCGGGTGGCCGTGCCGTGGTGGCCGCAGCCCTGCGGCTTCTCCCGGTGGCTCTGGGCGGATCTCTGGGCTTGTACTTCAGCGAGGGAACTTCTGAGGGCAGCACAGGCCACACGCTGCCTTGGAAGCCATAAATTTCGAGGCGGTGCTTCCATGGATTTTCTCAGAGCCTTGGGGAAAAAAAAAAAAAGAAAAAGAAGGGAAGATGTGCTGGCAATGAGGTGTCTGCTGGGGAGATCAGATCCATCTGCTCTTTGGAGAAGGACAAAAGGAAATGGTTTTCCCTCTCGTATACCAGGCTGTGGGGAAATACCAGAATATCAACCATCTTTATTTTTGTAAGGTTTGGGGGTTTAATGTGAAACTGTCTGTAAAAAAAAAAAAAAATAACGATAATAAAGAAAATAATTGCAGCTGAGGAACGGCATCAGATGAATCCCGGGCTGTGTCACAAACAATGCTTGGAAAATCCTGCAGCTCCCCTTTGGCTCCGGCCCCGTTTCCCTGCGGCAGAGCGACAGGCAAGGCTGGGAGCCAGGGAAGGATCCAGCAGGATTCAGGGCAGGATTTAGGGCAGGATCCAGGGAAGGACCCAGTGGGATCCAAGTAGGATCCAGGGCAGGATCTAGGCAGGATTCAGGGCAGGATCCAAGCGGGATTCAGGGCAGGATCCAGGTGGGATTCAGGGCAGGATCCTGACGGGATCTAGGGCAGAATCCAAGTGGGATCCAGGGCAGGATCTACATAGGATCTAGGGCAGGATCCAGGAGGGATTCAGGCAGGATCCAGACAGAATCTAGGAAGGATTCAGGGCAGAATTCAGGTGGGGTCCAGGCAAGATCTAGGGCAGGATCCAGACAGGATTCAGGGCACAATTTGAGCAGGATTCAGGGCAGAATTCAGACGGGATCCAGACAGGATCTAGGGCATGATTCAGGGCAGGATTCAAGTGGGATTCAGGGCAGGATCTAGATAGGCTCTAGGGCAGGATCCAGACAGAAACTAGGCAGGATCTACGCAGGATTCAGGACACAATTCAGGCAGGATCTAAGCAGAATTCAGGGCAGAATTCAGGCAGGGCCCAGGCAGAATCTAGGCAGGATCTATGCAGGATTCAGGACAGAATTCAGGCAGGGTCCAGGCAGGATTTAGGCAGGATTCAGGGCAGGATCCAGGAGGGATTCAGGGCAGAATTCAGGCAGGATCCAGGCAGGATCTAGGGCAGGATCCAGACAGAATCTAGGCAGGATCTACGCAGGATTCAGGCAGGGTCCAGGCAGGATTTAGGCAGGATTCAGGGCAGGACCCAGGAGGGATTCAGGTAAGATTTAGGCAGGATTCAGAGCAGAATTCAGGTGGGGTCCAGGCAGGATCTAGGGCATGATTCAGGGCAGAATTCAAGTGGGATTCAGGGCAGGATCTAGGGCAGGATCCAGACAGAATCTAGGCAGGATCTACACAGGATTCAGGACACAATTCAGGCAGGATCTAGGGCAGGATCCAGGCAGGATTTAGGCAGGATTCAGAGCAGAATTCAGGCAGGGTCCAGGCAGGATTTAGGCAGGATCCATGACGGGATCCAGCAGAACCCAGGGCAGGATCCAGGAGGGATTCAGGTAGGATTTAGGCAGGGTCCAGCAGGAGCCAGGACAGGATCCAGCAGGAGCCAGGCGCCTCTGGGCGCAGCAGGGCTGTACCGCTGGCAGCTGGCATTGCTGCCCGAGGGTGCCAGGCTGCCAGCGCTGCCCTTCCCCGAGATCCGGGCCAGGCTCCCGCTGCCATCTGTGCCCCCAAGGGCTGTGCCCCCAAGGGCTGGCACCGCGGGAAGGACGGCAGGAATGACGGCAGGAGCTGCCGGGAATGCTCAGAGCCTTCCCAAGGGAGAAAGGATTCCTTGCCGCCATTGTGGAAGAGTTTATTTGGGGGTTTTTATTTGGGGGATGTTTTCGGGAATTACAGCAATGTATTCATAAATACCTAATTACTACATTCAGCAAATAATATATTACATTACAATTAATTCCAACAAGGTACACTTTGAACATGTTCAGGGTTGGGTTTTTCCTCCTTTTATCAGGGGGTTTGGGTTTTGGGGTTTTTTTTTTGTTTTGTTTTTTTGGGGGTTTGTTTGTTTGTTTGTGTTTTTTATTTGGGTTTTTTGGGGTTTTTTTTGTTTGTTTTGTTTTGTTTTTTGGATTTTTTGTTTGTTTTGTTTTTGGTTTTTTGGGGGGGGTTTTTTTGGTGTTTTTTTGTTGTTTTCTTTCACAGCATCCAACCTGCCCCCAGCAGGCTCTGTCTTCCTCTCCTTCCTCCCAGCCCTTCCAGCCTCTGGCACAGCTGCTCCAGCAATTCTGCACGGACACAAATGCTTACCAGAAACCCAGGGCATGAGGAAAATTGCTCCAAAACCCTGGGGCACGGGGAAAGTTGCTCCAAAACCCCCGAATTCAGGCTGGTGAGGAGGGAAAATCAGCACAGGAGCTGCTACAAAGCGAGGCTGCATCCCAGCCAGGCTCCTCAGCAGGGCGAGGGATAAATCTCCAATGATTTTCCATCCCTGGTTCTTCCCCCTCCCTCTGCCACGGCACACAGGAAGGGAAAGGAGCGCAGCAAAGAGCGAATTTTGCCGTGTTAAAATTCCCTTCCAAGCCCGCAGTTGGCAGCGTGCGAGGCCAGAGGCTGGCGAGGCAATTGGGGATTTAAAAAAGATTAAACTAATTTCTGTCACAAGGGCATTTTGCTTTTTAATCTTGCCCAGCTTTTTTTTTTATTTATTATTATTTGGTGAAGCCAATGAGAGAGCAGGGAGCAGGGGGGGTTTGTGTGGGGGGGGTTAATGCTTTTTTTTGCCGGTGCAACGAGGGAATTTAAAGCAGGAAGCAGAGGTCACCTTTTCCCGGAGATGTGAGCTGGTCTCGTGGCGAATTAAAAAACAATTTCTAATAAATAATTTAAAAATAACAATCAAATAAAAAGGGCTCCCCCAGGGGAGGGGAGGCAGGGCACGTGTTGGTTTTTAGCAAGTGGCTAGAAACAGCACCAAGGCTGACCCTGGTGGCACCAGGACATCCCTGCCCGCCTGCGGGCACAGCTCCACATGGGTTGTCCCCAAAGTGCCACCAGGACACCCCACAGGACCCACTCTCCCTGTGCCCAAACTGCCTTAGAGCTGCTCTGATTGTTTTGGTGTTTTTTAGGGGGGACAAGGACACCCCAGTGCCACCCACCCCTCAACCCTCCACCCTCTCCACGCGATTCCTTTGGGATTTTTCCTTTGGCAGATGGAGCCTGGGCAAGGCTCAGCCACCACCCGGCACTGTGACACCCACCACGACCCAGCTGGAGCAGAAAAGGCCCCAGAAAGCAAAGAAAAAGGGTAAAAAAACGCAAAAAAATAACCAAAACCATAGGAGGGTGGAAGGGCTCAGCTTCTCGAGGGATTGGTCGTGGGACAGGGCCTGCCCCAATGGAAAAGGGGATTTATTTTTTTCCCGGGTTTCAATTCTTTTTAAAACATTTCAATATCTTTTCTGGCCCAACCAGCAGCAGTACAAACACTAAAAGCGAGTTAATCTTTTTGCCAAAAGGAATAAAAACAAACAAACTAGAAAGAAAGTAAAAACAGGGAGGGAGAAAAAGCAGGGTGGGGGGAAAAAGGAAAAAAAAAGCAGAAACATCTTAAAAAAAAAGGCAAGCTTTTTATAACAATAATTAAAGCAATAAAAACATACAAAACTTTGTTGTTTTTTAATATATATACACAGTACAAGGCTGAAGCACCTTTTTTTTTTTTTCTTTTCTTCTTTTTTTTCCGCCTGTTCAATCCCAAAGCCGGGGTGACAAAGTGACCCCGCGCGTGTCCCTGCCCCTTCCCCGCCAACCAGGAACAAAAAGGGACCTTCAACCAGTTTATTGACTTTATTTTTTGATAGCGAAGTGCATTTCCAGGGGAAACCCCGGGCTGGGGGTGCCGTGCTGGGAGCGGGATCCGGCAGCACCCGGGGCCCCGCCGGGTTTAGTGTTGTCGGTGGAGTCTTTAATTGTCTTTTTTTTCCTTTTTTTTCCTTTTTTT